GGTCCCGCTCGAATCCGCCAATGCTTCCCCACTGCTACTGTAGCTACCAGCTGACCTCAAGTGTTTGCTTCTCTTCTTAGCTTGTGGGTAGTTATGCATTGTAGACGGGATTTAAAATTTCTTGTACTAAATCTATTTTATTGACTGTTTGCTCAAGTTTCTCCATTCATCCTGGGTGGCGCCAGTGGGACCCCGTCTGGGAGAGCTTCCCCGCCCCCGTCGTCGAGAAACTTTAACAACAATTCGTAGGGGAGAAAAAAGAATTATATGTATTTTCTGCATAGGCCCATTAGTAGACTCCAAAATCGATTAAATAAGCCCCTGAAACCTCTAAATTTTCAAAATTTAGACCGCTTTCGAAATATTTTGAGCGACGCTCAATATCAGTTTTTTTCAAAATCATAATGTATTATTTGATCCACACAAATACACGCACTTATGTAATGTATTTTTGTTATTTATTCAAACGGTTTAAAAATTTCAGAAAGGTAGGTTACATAGGATACTGCTCTGTTACAAGTATGATTATTGCAAAGGATTCAGTAATATGTACTAATCTTACTTTTCCAATAGTTTAGTACTTTTTTTTTATCATAAACATCAACAAAAATAAAATAAATCAACTCCAACAATAAATATATTTTACATATTTTCTAAATTGACAACATTTTCAGTCATTTTTTTTCTAGCCGTGTGGCGGAATAATTTACATCGTGAGTTTAACACGTTTAGAAACAATACAGTAGTAACTTAAAGTTTAGATAGTTTAAGGTACGCGTTTGGTAATATCAAGGATACATAACTATATATTATATTTTCATAATACTAGCGCGTCCAGGAATATTCACAACGTAAATAATACTATGGTACGCTTGTGTGTTGATCACAATACACGCGCTTCGCAATGTTCAGTAATAAAAACACTTTTAACAATATCTGAACCATTAGCAAAATAAACTTAAAACGCTAATATGCTATCTTATTTTAAATTGATAGATTGTATATACTGTAGAAAGATATTTTTATATAAGACACCTTATCACGTTAATTGTACTAGTTGCCATCGCTGATTTCCTTTCTTGCACTGAAGGTGGATCAATGCATATTTCTTCTGTAAAGTCAATGTCGCAAACGTGATATAAAGAGTAGTATCAAAGAGTATAAATAGTAGTATAAACGTCACGCCTGTGTAGGAAGCCCACTAACGGTTGTATGTTCTTTTTATTACCCAGTGCAGCGCTGCGCAGCGCGGTAGAAGCACGCCCGCTATAAACTCAGTAAGCAGAAAACAAAAGTACAGTATCTTGTGGAGAACAGATAAACAGACAAACCGACCGTGCGCGGTGGAGTACCGGGTAATAAAAAACATACAAGCGTTAGTTGGCGTCCTACACTAGCTGAATATTCACAACGTAAATAATACTATGGTACGCTTGTGTGTTGATCACAATACACGCGCTTCGCAATGTTCAGTAATAAAAACACTTTTAACAATATCTGAACCATTAGCAAAATAAACTTAAAACGCTAATATGCTATCTTATTTTAAATTGATAGATTGTATATACGGTAGAAAGATATTTGTATATAAGACACCTTATCACGTTAATTGTACTAGGTGCCATCGCTGATTTCCTTTCTTGCACTGAAGGGGGATCAATTCATATTTCTTCTGTAAAGTCAATGTCACAAACGTGATATAAAGAGTAGTATCAAAGAGTATAAATAGAACAAGAGAGCAAAGTCCCGTTCGTATAAACGTCACGCCTGTGTAGGACGCCCACTAACGGTTGTATGTTCTTTTTATTACCCAGTGCAGCGCTGCGCAGCGCGGTAAAAGCACGCCCGCTATAAACTCAGTAAGCAGAAAACAAAAGTACAGTATCTTGTGGAGAACAGATAAACAGACAAACCGACCGTGCGCGGTGGAGTAGTGGGTAATAAAAAACATACAAGCGTTAGTTGGCGTCCTACACTAGCTGCGTAGGGCGTATCGTTTTTTTACGCTCTCAATGAGCGTTGTTGGCTCTCTTGTTCTATTTATACTCTTTGGTAGTATATAAATCCGCAAGTAGGCCTACAGATCACGAACTAGGTTCGGGTTTTGATTGCAGTAGCTGTTGTTGAGACATCGCCAAATGACCGTATTGACCGTCTAGTGTATAACCGAGTTTCTTTGCAACACGTAATCGAATCTTTAACGCAGGACCTAGTTTTAATCCCATGTGGTTCAACAAGTGGTCTTCGGTTAAAACCGTCAGTATTTCGCCATCAATGCCCTGGTCTCGGAAGACCTACACAATAAAAAAATCATACAACAAAATGAATAATTCTTTAATGTAAAATATAATTACTTTCCAAAACGGTCTGATTCACTAAAAAAAATGTAAATAAATATAGGCCAACTTACCATCGCATATTCTTCGCAACCTCTAAGAGAAGAGACAAAGTTACTGACGTCGTCAATAGACCAATCAGTAAGGTCGTCTGGCTGTGACGTAGTTGCAGCAGAAGTAGTATTTCTGTTGTTGGACCGATGGCTGTTGATATTGTTACTGCCGCGAGAAAAGTTAGCAGAGTCTGGTCGAGTTAAGGCGATCATTTTCATTGGGCTAGATCGATGTCCATGAGCTGAAGAACTTGAAGGATGTCCGCGGTCTAAGACCCCTGTTCTTCCACTATACCTAAGAGAAAGAACACATTAAAACTTTAAGAAGCTCAGGGGCGGATCCAGGATTTGAAAGAGGGGGGTTTAACATTTTTCCCGAAAATGAAAGGGGGTCCGAGGTCCTCCTCCGGGAAAATTTTGATTCCTAGATGGCCGGAAATGAGCTTTTCCGACTTCTGCGGTACAGTGTATTTTAATGACCTTTAATTTCTACAAAATTCAAGGTTTTACCCCTCTTAAAAAATCAAAGATATAGTCAATACATTATTAGGCCTATATTCCAGCAATATTGCAGTGGCGGATCTAAAGAGGGTGAATAAGGTGGCTAGCCAACCCCCTTCGGTGACTGAAAAAAAAAAAATGGTCACTCGTCTTGTGTGTGTGCTTCTCAAGTATACATATATACTCTCGTAAAACATACACTTTCTATTTAAGCTTAACTTCTTTTCAGATGTCATCCGAGAGCGTCTGGACGTCTACTAATTCCAAAATCAAATCTCAAATGGAAGCGGACGCTCCCTCTAAAAATCCATGATCAAAGGGGACAGAGAATACGTACCCAAATATATTTAAGAGGGTGGGGGGGGGTTTGTCCCCTCACTTTTTGTCCGCAATGTAATAATTTCATAAGTCAAGAAGATGCCTGAAAATTGTTGTAATGAACTGCATTGAAGACTTGTACAGCAGGTATTCTATCTCTGCCCACAAACATCTGAATTACTACTACTAATACTAATGATGATAATAATAATAATAATAATATCATTATAATAATCTATAATAATAATATAGGGCCTATAATAATAATAATAATTGATTAAATTATTATTATTATTATTAACAATAATAATAATAATAATAATAATAATAATAATAATAATAATAAGATTAGTTTTCGGCACATTGAATGTAAATTAAAAATATATAGCAGCAGTAGTGAGTATGTTATAGGATACATGGAGTGGACTTGTTTTAGAAATACTAGTATTTGCAGGGATTGGACCTAAGTCTTCGGCAAAAAGGCGATAATTCTAACCACCAATCCGCAGTTGTATGCCTACTCGTAGGGTGGCTTACCTTCTGTTGGACGACTGTTGTAGTCTGTTATTTGGAATGTTAAGACTGAGCTGAAAGTAAAAAAAAAAACAGACACGGATGGATTCAGTATCAACGTAACAAAGCTAATGGTTTCAAAAACATAAAATTAGTTAAAACACTGCATATGTAAATCATTTGTTTTTTTTCTTTTCCAAATTTACAAATATTTTTTATTTTCGGACGGTTACTGATTTAAAATACGAGCACTGACTCCGACCTACCTGTTGCAACTCTATGTGCTGAGGTGATATTTGTTTCCGAGATTTGTGTAGTGCGTTTGTGGCTGTTATTGCATTTGTATCAATGTTCTCCACCGGAGATGCAGATTCTGAACGATCAGTAGGCACCAAAGACTGTCGGACATTTTCTAAAAAAATTATAAAAAAATAATTCATATATTGCACAAATTGGTAGAACATACCGGTAGAACTGGTGTTACCATACGTCGAATTTAGGCACAAGACACGAACATAACCATATTTCTTGTTTATTTTTTTAACAACATCATCATCTCTATCATCTTGATTATCTGATGATAATCTTTATCATCATTATCATCTTCTTCATCATTAACATCATTATCTTCAACACCATCTTTTTAATTATCATTTTGTTCATCATCACACTCTTTGTGATTTCATCATTTTTCATCATTTTCCATCATATCAGCATAACTAATCATCTTTATTATCACCATCACCATATTCACCATCATCTTCATCTTCATTATCATCATCATCACAACTATTTTTTGTATCCAGTGGCGTAGCTAGAGGCTTGGCACCCGGGGGGCAAGAGTAGAAAATTGCCCCCCCCCCCAATTATAATTATAATACTTTGAAATAAATTGATATTGGTTGTATAGACTTTAAGCATATCCGTACCGTACGTCCATCATGCACTGTCTAAATAATATTATTTAATTCAACCCGAATAAGTATTATTATTCTAGCTCTCATATGTTCTTTCTTACCAGGGGTGGAGCCAGGATTTGCCCGAGGGGGACCGAGGTCCGACGAAGGGGAAGATTTCCTTGACGAGAGCAAATTGGGCGTGATCGAGCGTCGCTTAAAATCTTCCGAAAGTAGTCGGAGTGGGGGGGGGGGGGGGGGGGTGCGAAGCCCCCGAAAATTGTTGACAATTTATGGGTTTCAAAGGCTTATTTAATCTATTTTAGAGTCTACTATGTACAAAGTACATACTGTATAATTTTTTTTCTCCCTAACAAATTATGGTTTTCTCCCCGACCGGGGTTGGGGAGGGGGAGGTGGGGCGCAGCTATCCCTGAAGGTGGGGCCTGGCGCCACCCCTGTTTGTTACTATTGAAACTGCATTACGATGTTCGGAACTTTGTATACAACTTTACCATTATCTTAATTCGTAAGGCTCTTGTATTTATTGCATAAAGCTTAATATTCTTATTCTCTAAATTAATCTATAGTAGTCTTGTAAGTTGCTGAATTTTTAACATTGTTTAAAATAGCAATTGAATTTTGTTTGCTTTTGCATCATCAAAAAAGTTAATAACATGATAAAAGTTAGCAATGTTTTCTGCTTCATCAGGCTCAGAACTAAGTAGTGCCAAAGCAGATAGTCTCGCTTTTCCAATCGTGGCTCTGAGATATGGCAGGATGAGCTTTAGTCATGTAGTCATTACAGAATAGGATAGAAAACAAGAGAAACGGTCAAGGACTGAAAACAAATTACAATCTATAAGTTTGCCAATAAAAACAACAACATTCAGATTCTTATTATTAACTGGAAAATATTCATGCCTGACGACATACATCAATTTCGTCGTGTTTTTCTAAAAAGTGCTTATTTTTTAAATCTGTTTGTATCTTCATCATCACCACCAACACCACCAAACCAATGATATCATTACCACTATCACCAGCATCAACATCACCTGCATCGTCGTCGTCATCATCATTATAGCCTACAGTTAGTACATTGAACGATTTTGTTAACTGCAAACATTTACCGATTTTCTGAGGTTCGGGTGAGTTAGCTGCCTGGTAAATTTGCCTTTGCTCCTGATCATATATGTCATCTGGGGGCGAGATGCTTCGAGCTCTCTTCTGTTGATTACTGTCCCCTGCGGCTAAGAGACTTCGTTTTCGTGAAGCGTCAATCGAACCATTGTTCTCCTCAGAATCGGAAACATTGATATTATTGGCCTGATGCAAGTTGTTGATGATGGATGAAAGCGCGCCATCCGTTTCTCTGGAAACCAACAATCATACTTATTAACATCGGATGATATGTCAATCATTATAAAGGTGAGTAGGTTAAACAAAATCTAATTATAGAAAGTTACACGAACCAGAATAAACGACAATATATTGAAGAAAACAACTTCACAATACACAATGCGTTGCATAACGTATCAAAACATGTGAAAAAAAAAAACGCTTAAAATTTAAAAAAAAAAAAAAAGATTTTGGGGAGCTAATCAAGATTTTAGTGCACATTTTACAGATTTGTTAATGAACAAGGGCCAATCATTTTTGGCAAATATGTTGTCAAAACATCAATTGCCTTTAGATTGCATTTAATAAAAAAAAAATAATAATTAAAAAATAAATAAGCAAATAAATATAGGGCCTAAATACAAAATACAATATAGTAAAGCGCTGTGTATATTTATTAGATTGCTGTAGAGTATGTAAATACAAGTAAAATTAATAACCATAATGATATTAGTAGTTTTTGTAAAGAATATATTGTTTAAAGGATTTATTAAACTAAATGGATAACAATTAGTGTCTTTAATTTGTTTTGGGAGGTCGAAATATCAATGGAGTCCATTCTGTCCCATTAATATCCAGGTGAACATTAACCGTTAGTGCATACTTGTACAGCGCAAAACGAATGTTAAATTTCTGTCTTAATGAAATTAAATAAAAGGGCTATTAATTACTTGCCAACTTACCCGTTTCTTTTGACCTTCCTTCCGTTAGCAAGGGTCACATATTCTACTGACGATGATGATGTCGAGACGTAATCCATGTCATTACTCAGCTTATTGGATGGAATCATCGACTGTCGTTTCTCAAAGCGTGGCTTAGTTAGCTAAAATGTGATTATATGGATGTTTTATAATTATCAATAATTCTTTTCTCAATTTATGTTGACAACAACGTGTGCAATATAATTCACTGGAGGAAGATGTTGCAGTAAAGCAGAGGGCATATAATATGTGTAGTGGTTCGATGCCAGCTGCTTTAAATTTAAATAACTATAAGATGGACTATCCTCCTACACAGTCATATATCGCACCCACAACTTTGAAATAGAAACAATTATAGTTTTTGAGAAACCATTTTTCGATTTAATTCTCTGACAGTCATTTGTAGAATGAGAACAGATGGCATAGGCCTAAAATAGGAAATTGTGATGGTCAAACGATATCGTTATTAAACATCGTTATTAAGAATTTATTTACGTCTTGTAAATAGAACATTACACACTTTTGTTGATAGAACAATGACACGTACCTGAAATCGGCAAGTTGGACAATCACAAGATGAGTGGTGTGTACTTAGTAATCCTCTTGCCATTAAAATCTTCAAACTCTTTCCGCGATGCCTGATACTTCGCTTCCAATCTTTTGCCGTTTCTCTACCACAGAATGATTGGAATTCGTTCGGTGTGTACCAATTTCCCTGTGCGATTAAAAAAAGGCTATCCATTTATTTTCATATCAAGAGCTTTTTATTCAGTAATAAACAAACATAGAGTCCTAGTATCCATATTACAGAAAGCGTGGGATGCGTGCAAGTCAATTGGTAATCTAAAATTGCTGTCTACTCGTTTATAGCATTCCGGTTAGTCCACATTCATTCACTATGACTGCTGACAACATCCTTAACTCCATTTCCGCTGACTTGTAGTCAAATATCGCGCGTTGCTATACATATCTTAAATGCGCCTACTGGCTTTTCAAGTACATAAAATCGTGCAAATATTATATGACACATTACATTATCACTTTAAATAACAGTAATAGTTACGTTGATGGCGGTGTTTAGCTCATTCTGGGTCAGAACTGGGGGGTGACCGACTAAAACCGGAAGGAACTTGCTCGACATGCAGCAGATAAACTAACGAGAAGCGGATGTTAGCCGCCAGAAGACGAGCAAAACAAGACAATCAAGGAAATTGACCAATCCCGACTTCCTGGGCCGCGCATCGTCTGATAAATATTCAATGTTATTTTGGGAGCATAACATGATTACCGTAACAGCTAATGTGCTCTTTGATTATCACCAGAGTCAAGTATTCAACATTTTCTCACTTATGCGTAACGGATTATTTCCTCAAGTAGGCCTATGGTTAATTCTACCCTAGATTGTATCTCTTTCTGTTGGCAAAATAACGGAAAACTAAACTAAAAAGAACTTGACTTTGAGAAAATTAAAAAAAAAAAATCAGTGAAGATTCAAATCTTCTTTAAAAACTATTAAAAATATTATTATGCTATTAAGGTGGAAAGTACAACTATATTTAATTTGTTTTATTTTAATTATTTTCGTTTAAATAAGCCACTAGCAGTGTGTATGACAAACAAACGTAATCTACTCGAAAATGTACGTATTATCAAAAAAAAATTATTTCTATACTGGTAAATAGGCCTTCATGCGACATTAATGACGTCAGTGGATGGTAATAAAAGCCCAAACTTATACTTTGGAACAAGATGGTCTGAGTATGCAATTTATTGATACTAAAGTATTTTGCTGAGTAAGTTTAAAATAACATTCTTATGGTCATTCTGTTTACAGTTGCTGGCAAAGCTTTATGTAAAGCCACAGTTAAAATTCCTTGGTAAAGCCCTTTATCTATTTGAGATACTAGAGGTCAAGCCACTTAATGAACATGACAAATATACAAAATTATGTTTGAGTTTCTGAACTTACCCTATGGTAAATGCACAATCCCTTGCTACCTTGACAAAGTTTATTGACATAAAGTTGAGCTTTGTTTCCTCCACAATCAACATCAACTATTGTGCTGCCCTCTTCGTCATAATAAGGTGCGTAATTATTCCGTGCAAAATCAATCTGCGTAAACAAAACAATTAAGCAAATAAATGTTATCATTGTATGTTAGTAACATTATGTTTTGATTTCAATCCAAAATATTTGTTGTACGACTTAGACTCAACATACACCAATATCCTACATCTTTATTGTGTAATATATTGTAAAGCGCTAGTGGCAACTTCCGTTTTAACCGGCGCTTTAGAAATTTTAAAAACTATCTACCTATCCCTAGGAACAGTGATTCACTGTTCCCTGCTATCCGTTTTATTGAATGGTACCCGAAAAATAGATGGTATAATAGTTGATCTATTGGTAACCAATACGTAAAACATGGCTCGATTTTAAATAACTCAGCAACACGTGTCCATACATTCAGTTAAAGCAAATCCGCAGCCATGATCAAACACACGTGATTCACTGCCTCTAGTCAATAATTTCGATTAACCATACAGGAAAATGATTCGACCAAACTTCCGTAATCTGTGAACTCGAGTGAAATGTATAAAGAAAAAATACCCGACCAAATTGTCAGGAAGGAAACTCATCAAAATGCGTGTGAAAATACTTTTATAATTCATATTCTTTTTAAATGTTTCAATGGATTTCTACTCCAGCCATTCTTGAAATATATTTCATTTTAATGCGCATTGAATAGGAAGCCAGTCAATCCGATTTAAATTTCTACCGTGTAAAATATTTGATTGAAATCGCCGAATACAAATACAAAATAAGGGCGTAAGGACACATAAACTCATAGATAGAGAAAATCGAGACATTTTAAGCGACCATTGTTTGAGAGTCGATAATTGCAGGTTCTATTACATAGAAAAGGTGTTTTTTCCATCCAGAGACAACCACTAGTACATATAAAGTATTAGTATTAAACGCCTATAATTATATTTGTAAATAATGATAAAACAAAATAATATAGGCCTATGACGGGCCGAGTAATAGTGATATCTTTATTTTATTTATTTATCTTTACAGAAATATTTTTGAATACTTGGTCGTCGTATCGTCGTATCGTAGTTATGCTAGACATGTTTCTCGTTAAGCCCGCTATACATGTGGCTCATAAACGCGTAGAAAACTTTATAAATGTCAATAAATAATACTCTATACACTTTACACATACGGTCAAAAACAATCTATCTCACATAGGCCTACACACGTATCCTTCCGCTCAGCGTCCTATAATACACCAATAAATTGCGTATATAGTAAAAACACGCACGTTGAAAATTCCTAGTCGGTATGATCACGCAAAAATAATTATGGTATAGGTTTCAAGGCACACACTAACATTTACGTAGAAGCTTCCTCGCCCGTAAAAACAGGTACACATAATAAATTATGGGCTTATTGACAATAGCACATTGAATATATACATCTATCTCAAATTCAAAATGCAATGCTCCATCATAAAATGGGGAAATCTTTTGATGTACAAATTAGAGACAATAAAATAATAACATGTACAAAGAAATCTAAACTTACACCGAGGTGAAGCCCTGTATTCTCTAGTTGAATCTCTGAACCAACTGCTAGAAAATAGTTGTTGCTTGTTATTAATAATGCACACACAATATGAGTTAATGAAAGAGTAATATGCCTTGCAGAAAAAACGTCGACTAAACACTGCGTTTTCCGGCATTCGCATAGCCTCAGTATCCGGACTACCGGATGGGTTTAAAGTAGGCACGGGAAATCGGTTAATTTCAAGCCATTCATCAGAAAGCCAGGTCGTGCTGTGTATAATCCAAGTCGTTCCTCCGTTCCCTTGGTTACTTCCTGTGACGCGTAAGCGCTGTTAGTCTATTTCCGTCATTCACTTTCTCGTCGAACAAAGCAATCGAAAAATATTCGTTCTTATTATTTCTTAGAGATATTCAGAACTGAAGATAAATAATAGATCTTGATTTCTGTCTGTTCTTGTCAGTAGGCCAAGCATGTTTAAACAACGGCGTCGGCGCGTTACAGATGAACCAAACGCAGGACTAAAATTATCTTCCTTAGCGGGGAGATTTAAAATAAGTTAAGGGTGCTAATTATCGGCACGATTAGATAAGCGAGTGGTAAGGGTATAATTAACATTATATGTCATAGTTCATTGGTTGATTTTGTTAGTGGACATACATTGCTGAATACGGTACATATATTTAAACCACAAACAAGGCATTTGAGAAACACGTTTGGTTGTTATTTTTTAACTCAAACTAATCAGAGAAAACAAGTTCACAAACAGAAGGCACGTGAATACACATAATGCAAGTGTAGGAAAAACCACGAATTTGTTACGTCTCACTTTCAGTTTTAATGTAAACCAATATAACAAATCCTATAAAACGTTTCATCTCTAATTTGTATCAGATCATCTAGGCAAACTACCGACAAAACGCAGTTCCCTCACAGCAAAACCGTCGTAATTATATAGTTGGCTAGCATTAGAAAATTAGGCCTATTGATTACAATTACTGTTCATTCACTTCACCCATGCAGTCAATATTGCCGTGCTCAGTATGGTGACTATACGGGAATGTAACGACTGCTGAGGAATATGAGATATAGTAACGTTTATTCCATCACATCTGTAGAAATCAGCATGATCATCTATAATCAAAATAACGGTTTAGGTCGTTTCGTCATAAGATGATTTGCCGACAACGTGCCATTAAATGCTGTTATTTGTACAGGCTAAAATAAGAAACTCTAATTAAAAAACGAGTAAAGCTGCATTCATACCGAATCCGAATTCGGTTCGTATGGCTAACGAAACGAAAAAAGAAAATCGAATCAGTGGTAAAGAATAGAGGCGCATCGACAACGTTCTACAAACCGAATTCGGATTCGGTGTGAATCTACCTTTAGGCAAATCGAAGCCTTCAGTGAGGCAATGCAAAATGATGCAGGACTCAACTATACAAACGAAATATCTTGCAATGGACTGTGCAACCTGGAAGGTGTTTGCCTATAAAGTAAGTGAATAGTTTTAAATTTAAATTATAATTGATGTGACAAGGAAATCGGAATATCTGAACTACTCCCAGAAAATAACCCAAACAAAATGAACAATAAAAAACAAAGGACCACACATAACCATACCATCTCACCGCAACAAAAAGAAATAAACAAATAAATAAGTAGGCCTAAATAATAATAATAATAATAATAATAATAATAATAATAATAATAATGATGATGATGACGGTGATGACAATTACGATGACGACAATGATGATGAGGTTGATAATGATAAAGACAAAAATAAAATGTTGATGACAAGAATGATGATGATGATGATAATGATGATGTTGATGATTAGAATGGTGATGATGATGATAATGATGATGAACACTATTGGCAGACTACGGCATCTAATGGCAATTAGTTTACTTTGTTTCCAAATGACTAGGCCTAATCGTTTTGATGTCGTCATAAAGAGTGTGCTTTGAAATATCAATGTAATCGCTTTCATTATTGCAATAATTATTCAAGCCCGCCCGCTATTGTCAGTGGACATGAAACTAGAGAGAAAAAAAAACCGTTTACAGTGCATTTTGACGAGTTGATGAGGATGTTCCTGTATTCAGACGATCTCTGGAAGGAACCCCCTGGACAGGATGGGTGAAGCGGCTTTAGCTCGTTAGAGCTTTTTTCTTAACCAGTCTTTCCGATACTGCCTTTCCATCATCTTTCATTTATGCTTCGGGATTAAGTCAAAATTTCTAAAACTAAAGCGCATTTGATCTTAGTTGTCTTCATCATTATCATTATTATTATTATTATTATTATCATTATCATTATCATTATCATTATCATTATCATTATCATTATCATCATTATCATTATTATCATTATTATCATTATCATCATTATCATCATTATCATCATTATCATCATTATATCATTATCATCATTATCATCATTATCATCATTATCATCATTATCATCATTATCATCATTATCATTATTATCATTATTATTATTATTATTATTATTATCATCATCATCATTATTATCATTATCATCATTATCATCATTATCATCATTATCATCATTATCATCATTATCATCATTATCATCATTATCATCATTATCATCATTATCATCATTATCATTATTATCATTATTATCATTATTATCATTATTATCATTATTATCATTATTATCATTATTATCATTATTATCATTATTATCATTATTATTATTATTATTATTATTATTATTATTATCATTATTATTATTATTATTATTGTTGTTAATAATAATAATAATAATAATAATAATAATTCTGGATTTATATAGCACCTCACGTTTTGTCAATTTTAATATGGGTCCATTTTAAAATGCTTTTGAATTTTAATATTCGTTGATTAATTAGTTTTCTATTTAATTTTGCAACAGTTGGTAATGAGGGAATTTAATGACTGGTTGAGATTTGAAATTCACGGGCTCGTATCAGCACAGGCGACACAAGCGACTACAACATGACTAAGTACTACGGTACCTCAAGAGGTCGTCTCTGCTGGTGTGTTAACGGGGTTGGTTGAGCTTTTGCTCTTTAAAGGCCAACTCAGACAGCGTCGGCCGACGCAGCCCGACCCGATTTATCGTCTGGGACAGTCTTAAGCCGTCGTGAGAAATATTAAACATGTTTAATATTCTACTACGCGACTGCCCCCGACGCACACCATCGCGTCTGCGTTTAACTCACACAGACCCGACGCGACAATAAATCGGGTCGGGCTGCGTCGGCCGACGCTGTCCGAGTTGGCATTAATGGAACTTATTGCTTTGTAGAAAATTAAGAATTGTTCTTTCTTCTTTCAATAGAATACAGTAAAGTAACTTTAAAGTTTTTTATCTATTTTCTTTGTTTATCTAAATGTTTTATGATTGATTTTAAACTTTAATTGTCAATTCGATTTCATAAGATCACATAAAATAATAAAAGAATAACCAAAATTACAACAATAGGAACAACAATATGTAATTTGTATTAGTTACGTTTGTGAATCAATTGATATAAACCAATTAATAGCGTCCTAGACAAATCATGCGATACATCCATACCGGATGGATACTTGTGGTCAGTAGACCGTATTATTCACTCAGTGTAATGATGAGGATGAGTCTCTTCAGTGTACCATCATCATTATCAATATAACGACAACGCGTGTCGTGGTACCACTACACGAGCATCATGGCACCACGAAACGCGTCATTTTCGTAATTAATCCGTTGATAATAACTGAATATAAGCCAAGCATTGAACGAACGAACATACTTAATGGAAATATAAAGGTCATATTCCTGGGTATGTTTGTACTTGAATTTAAGTAAACATGTAGACAGGTATTTCATATGTTTCATCATATTCGCTTGTTAGCGAATTTGTTTAAAACGAAAACCAACAAAATTGTAGTTGAGCTTTCATCATCGAATGGGCGGAAACATCTTAAGCCAGCGCGTCCTTTTGCCGCCGATAAATCGAAACTAATGTAAGAAGCATTGCTAACTCTCAGGTCAAATTATGAAATAAAAGGGGTCCGTACGCGGATTAATATTCATATTTTACAATAAAGCCATATTATAGACGCTGTAGCTTGGTATTTGATATAGGCCTGCTTGATTGTTAATTACTGGGAAATAGACCGAAATAACCACATATACCATACGGTTTTACCTCGACGTCATGGGCTTACGACGAGCCATGCATTTAGAGATTCACAGTTTATTATTTCTATTCTGTAATTGACGAATTGCATAAACCGTAAAAGCAAAGGGCAATCATATACACAACGGAGAAATATTTACATTAATTTCATCTACTGTACCTTGCCCAAAATATAGCCTAAAGTACATTGATTTTTGAAAATCAGGTCGGTCGCTGGGTCGGGAAGTTGTTTAAACTACGCCTAATTCGATGGCTCCTAGACAACCTAATCTCACCTATAATATTTTAGTTGGTAAAATCCTTAATAAAATAAAATTTATCAATGAAAGCTTCAAAAGTAGCCTTTTCATACTTTCTAAGACGTTATGGGCAGACTGTTAGTAAAAAAAAAAATAAAAATGAAACAGAAAGTGAACTAATTAATAAACGTCAGCCCTAGTTGGGGCTACAAAGCCCACCCCACCGCCCCCCAAAAAAGGTAAATGACTCACCATAGCCTCATCTGATAGAGACTGACCCCCGATATCATTGTAGTCCAAAGTAGAAGTCTCCAGTCCGACATTTTCCTCTTCCTCATCATCTTTGCCTCTGTATTCTAAGTCATGCAAACCGTCATTCGATTCCCTTTGGTTGTGAGTCTCAGAAAGTTCCGAAGCGCCACCACAATTCATATCCTCGGGTCTAATCTCCACGCTCATCTAGAAAAATATGGGCTTAATAAATAATCACACTAAAATGCTCCTAATTTCTGTCTAAAAATGTTTGAAAATGTTTATGGTGTTATACAAAAGTGAATTTTGGCAGGCTTATTTAAAGAGCGAATTAGAACATCCCGTCAATGCTTCCCCACAGCATTGGTACCGTAGCCTATCGTCGGTGATTTATACTGCCCATCGACTAGGCTTACTTGTTATGCACACGCACTCATCGTATACAAATTTGTGTTCGTATGTACGTTCGAATGTCAATACATTTATTTCGGAAGTAGTGGACAGAATCACACAGAATGGTGATTTAACAGTAAGTCTTTGCTGGATTTAATACATTAAATCGGAAATTTATAAAAACAATACAAAATTACTAACATATCGTTCTTCGTCCAATACTTCTTGTTTAATTGCTACAGCCATCTGTAAAAAACAAACCAGCATAATTTAAAAAAATCATGTGGAGTTTCGAATAAGTAAAGGCCCTCACGATGACGTGTACTGTATGGTTATCGCGTCTGGATTATAATTTATTTTGATAATAAATGCTTGTGGTTACCACGTACCGTAGGTAGTTCTACAAAGTACTGTTGTTTTGTTTGAGAGATACTTAAAAATGTATTTTAACAAATTGTTCGTGGCCCTGCAATACATACGGTATATCGTGGATAATACGTCATTTAACTCAGTGGTTGAAGTCAGAGTGTCTACAGTCTAACCAATTTACATCACCGTTGCGTACAATCAGAGGTATTATAATAATACCTTCATGCATGGTACAACGTAGATACTGCTACGCGTGGCTAGAAACACTCCATCACCATAGAACACGCTTACAAAGTTCAATTTGAAATAAATAGGCCTAGTTCAAGATTATTCCCAAGATAAGCGTCATAAACAGCCTTGTCAGTCCGAGAGTTAGCGCCGCAGCGACCAGAGTATCGCCAGCCCCAAGCCCTTGTTGAATAAACTATTTATCTCTTCCGCACCACCGTTGCCAAATCATCAAAATCAATTACGCAGCGACCTGGCGGATCTCCGGTCAGGAAGCCCGCCGTCGACATTACTTTGACGTGCGTATGATGAATGAATCACTCTAGACTAGGTCCTATAGACTACGCATTAGAAAAATAATGTAATGTTTACTCAACCCAATCCGAATCAATTGGTCTAAAAAGGAACTATATTGTGTTGAAAAGTTATACGTAAACATGCATAATCATGAATAATAATTAATAGGCATTTATATATTGAAATCAAAGAATCAGTTTTCTAACTAGGCCTATATGGTTGAAAGTAATAAGGTTATCCTGACCGACTTGTCTAAGGACATAAGTCGATATAGGCCTAGCCACAATAATCCCTAATAGCTTATAACTTAAGTCTGATTGCTAGCGACAAATCCCGAGAAAAGGCCCGGTGTGTTACTGCGGCCACGCCCTGTTCCCCATAATCGATGGTAGAGCCATGTCTCTACGTCTGAAAAATATCGCTCCTCCCATTGAGTGTTAAATATCCTTGTTGCACTATTTATATAGAAACAGCCCTAACCTTAAAGATGGATAAATTTGAGTTGTGTAGCCCGCAAATAAACGTTCTCTTACAGTATTAGGCCTACAGTATAATAATTAGTTATAGGACAATTGCCAACGCAAGGGGGAAGAAGGTGAGCACTCCCGATATTGAGATGGCGGCGCCATCACTACCGTGGCACAAAGGAACCTCGGTGTCAGATTGCTGGGTGCGGTAGCTTCCATAGACAAAGAGAGCTAAAAATTTATCATCGCAGATCATATTAATAGTGTTTTATTATTAATTATTGATCTATTGTTTTCCAAAAACATATAATTATAATAGAATAGATAATAAATAAATAAGTAATAACTTTCTATTTTGACACTAAAATGTGTGGTAGGCCAATAGCAATAATCGAGGTCTGCGTAAAGACATTCCGTAGTCAAATGCTGGGTCGTATTCACGTGGAGAGAAAATTGTGACACTAGCTAGCTTACGATATGACTAACGTAACGTGGTGACAGCATAAGCCACGCAAAAGCACCACATGCGGTAGTCACGAAAGTCGTGTCAGATACCGGAATATCGATGACCCTGGGCATACGTTTAACGTCCGCAGCTATAGTTGTTCCCGATTCGTGACTTCACGTGGTGCCCCACTTCGCGTGATGCAACACGTCGCGTGACTACATAAGCTGAAGTGATTCCATGTTTTAATAATTCTTATTTCATCAAAACAAGAAATCCACAATAGAACAGTATTTTAGTATTACACTTACTTATATATTTTTCAAGCCAATCGATTATTTTCGGGTTAAGATCAGTAATGAAGGATAAAGTGTTAAGGTGAATTACATGGGCGATGAATTTACATTAAAATGTATGGTAATTAACACCTTTAACCATAGGCCTACGTTATCTTTCATAATTATGTTTTTAAACACAATTCAATTATTATGAAGCATCAACAAACGATGTTTCGTGTTTTTTCCTTCACTCGCTTCCGTTTTATAAGCAGGCATCGCACTCACTACAAAAATCGTATTGGCCATACGTAAAAATCGTGCACAAACACATACTATCTGCTACGTTTGCATCCGTTAAGGAAAATAAAAGCACTTATGAACATTTTTGTGAACAGAATAATGTTTATATTGTTGAATAATGTTTTGTAAAACCAAGAAACATATTTGTATAAATTATACATGTCTAACAGAAATTTCTATAATATTATTATAGGCCAAACACTTGTATCGATAGTTTTACATATTCGATATTTATTAATATTTATTAAAC